GTGAGGCAAGTATTCTACCATCTGAACTATACTCCCAGCCCTTGGTGTATTTACTTTTAATCAGCAAATGTCACTCAGAGTAAGGAACACTGAAGCCATCTCCATGGAGGGATGTCCATCACCATTGTTACAAAAATTCTTTCAGTGGCTGCCTTCCCAGTGAGACCTCTGCCCCCACCCAAGCCTCTCTATTTCCCTTCCATGGCTTATTTTCTTCTCAGAATCAGTCATTATCTGATATTTCTCTTCTTTACAGCTGCCTTCCTTGAAAATATTCACCTTTTTGTCTATTTTATTCACAAATATATCCTCAGCATCTAAAACAGCATTTGGTACCTTATTCTCTAATTAAATAATTATTGAATAATAAATAATGTAATAAGACAAGAATGTGAACCAATGAATTCAGAGTACCTTTTTACAAATAAATGATAATATTGTATACCTAGATACATTTACCTGTCGTGCTGTTTATCATATTTTTACTCAACATCCCACCAAGTTTCTTTTGGGTAATAGAGTTCAACTTCTGCTTCATCAGTTCCTCCCATAACCTGTCTGCCTGTCTTTTTTAGTACTGCTGGGCCAACAGTGTGTGATCAGATGTCTCTGTATCTAGGAGACATCTGGTTTCTCTTCCCAGGCTTCATCATAGATGTGAAGTGGTTCCTTTCTTCTTCTTTTTCTTTCTTTTTTTTTTCTAATTTTGTTAATTTTATTTTTTTGTTGAGACATGATATTTGTACCTTCTTACAAGGCATTAGGTGCTGAATTAGTTGATATATAAATTGAGTAATGATCAAATCAGTGTAATCAGCTTATCTGTAACTTTAATCTCTCATTTCTATATAGTGAGTACATTCAAAATCCTCTCTCCTAACTATTTGAGGATATTACAATGCCTTATTATCAATCATATTCACTCTACCATGCCATAGAACACTAGAATTGATTCTTCCTAATTGTAACATTATATCCATTGGCCATTCTCTCCCCCCTACACACACACACACACACACACACACACACTCACACACACGCACGCACACACTCACGCACACCCCTTTTTCCCCTCTTCTCCCCAGTCTCTAGTAACCACTCTCCTACACTTTATTTCTAATGTTGGAAACATTGTGTTTTCATTTCTGCAAGTCATTATGTATGTAATCATCAAAGTTGTAGAGATGTTCTCCATTTGTACATCCCAACTATTCGTGCAAGCTTGTGATTTTTGTTGACTGTTCAGTCTAAAATGGGATCAATTACAACGAAACAATAAAGGTCATATAGTTTGAGCCAGGAATGGTAGCACACATCAGTAATCCTTCCCAGTGAGACCTTCCCTAATGGTACTAAAACTTGAAAAATAGGCATTACAAAGAAGGTAAAATAAGCTGTTATTTCATCCAGAAAAACTTGTTGTCATTGTATATTTTCACTGGAAATTTAAACATTTACTTATGATTAAGTAAGAATCAAGGTTTTTTTTCAAAAGACCTGAAAATGTAGTCCTTTGACACCTCCTTGAGAAAAGCCAGGGGCGTATATGTATCAACCAAGTCCCATAAACAACAGAAACTCAGAGTGTGTTTGAGCAATAAGCTCCTTCCTGAAGTCTGGGCCACCTTTATTTTGCCTCTCTACTGCAAAGATAAAAGAACATTCTATTCTCATTCTAGAATTGAGAAACCAAGACCCAGATAGCCAAGCCAACTTGGGAGAATGAAGCAGGATGATTCCAAGTTCCTGAGCAACTTCGTGAGACTCTCCTTAAAATAAAAAGGCTTGGGAGTATAATTCAGTAGTAAAGAATCCCTGGTTCAATCCCCAGTAGTTAAAAAAGAAAAAAAGATTATGCAATTTGAGCCCTTGCTTTACTAATTATTCTGTAGCATCAGATAGGTTATTAAATTTCTTTGTACCTCCATATTTTCACATAAAATATGAGGATAAAAGTAATAGGGTGTTTCAATGTGTTTGTGAAATTTACTTAGATAATGTATGTAAAATGCTTAGCACACATTAATGCAATAAAATAGTAGTTTTTTTTCCAATTACTGTGGATAAAATACGTGGACCTTGCTGGTCTTTTCTAGTTTTGTTTTGTTTTAAATAATGTGTTTGGGGCTGGGGGATGTAGGTCAGTGGCAGAGTGCTTGTCTAGCATGCCTGAGGCACTGGGTTCGATCCTCAGCACCACATATAAATAAACAAGTAAAATAAAGGCATTCTGTCCATCTACAACTACAAATTTTTTTTTTAATTTTTAAAAAGAATGTGTCTGAAATTGAGCCAGGTGCAGTGGTGCACACCTATAATACCAGCAGCTTGGAAGGCTGAGACAAGAAGATTGCAAGTTCAAAGCTACCCTCAGCAACTTAGTGAGGCCCTAAGCACCTCAATGAGACCCTGTCTCTAAATAAAATACAAAAAGAAAAAAGAAAAGAAAAGAAAAGGCTGGGAATGTGTCTCAGTGGTTGAGTCCTCAGTGTTCCATCCTTGGTATGTGTGTGTATGTGTGTGTGTGTGTATGTATGTGTGTGTGTGTATGTATGTGTGTGTGTGTGTATGTATGTGTGTATATATATATATAAAAGAATGCAACTGAAATTGATTTTCATGTTATTATTAAGTAATGGCAGTTGATTTCTGTAGGCCTGCCATCTCCAAGGAAATAAAGTCATTCTCAATTGTGAAACTTGTCTTAAATACTTACAATCTACAAGTCTTTTTATACTACAAGTTGTAAAAATCCTGTATTTCTTTTGAAGTTGGCAGAGTTAATATTTTACCACTGTTGTGTCTTAAACACTTTGAAACTTGATTCAATATGCTTTGATTTCACTGGTTTTCTTGTTTTCTAACTATTTTACATTATGTGCTTGCTTATAATATTTGTTTTATCTTAAAACATTCTGATTATACTATGGACATTCATTAAATAAACATAACAAATAAAAGAGAGAGACACACCTTTGGGGGAAAGCAAGGAATGAGAATTTGAGGGAGAATGTTAAGGATGCATTGTGGAGTTCCCAGCTCTTCTTCTAAAGGACACTTGGAGAGGGATGAGTATGGGAAGGTATGTAGGAATGGTATCAGTCTGGTGATCTCTTGGTTCTGATGGTCTGGTCAATCTCAGGATCCTTAGGCTGACATGGTCTTCATTATCTGATCAGGAAAAGTCCCCTAAATTAAATCTTTTTCATGATATCAGATCTCTCTTTTTAATTAACAATGTACAGGTAGATTGACAGATTTCCCAGGAACTGGCAGTCTCCTGCAAGAGAGACTGGTGTACCAAGTAACATGCTTGGAAAAGTATGTGGAACTTAAGAATTAAAATCTGGGGCTGGAGTTGTGGCTCAGTGATAGAGTGCTTGCCTGGCATGTGTGAGGCACTGGGTTCTATTCTCAGCACTATATATAAATAAATAAATTAAATAAAGGTTCATCAACAACTAATATATATATTATATATATCTACATATATATATATATATATGGTTTAAAAAATTAAAATCTCATTTCCTGTTCTTCCTTCATGCCTTCTTTCTACCTATTTCTTATTTATTCTATCCTATCAGGAGTACCTTGTGGTAAAGAAAACTTTGACTAACAGTCCATTTAGTATGACTGCTTTGATTCATACTGAGCAGCTTAAGTTTGGATCCAGTAAAACACAATCCACTTAGCTGTGTTTAGCTGTGTGACTTAGGACACATTTTCTTTTTCTTTTTTAATTTTCAAAATTTTTTCTTTTTAGATATACATGATAGTAGTGTATTTTGACATATTATACACACACGGAATATAACTTATTCTAATTAGGCTCCCATTATTGTGGTTATGATGTGGAATTTCACTGGTGGTATAAATGAACATGGGAGAGTTATGTCCAATTCATTCTAGTGTCTTTCCTATTCCTGTCCCTTTTCCTTCGTTCATTACCCTTTGTCATAATTCCACTGAGCCTCAATTTCCTTATCTGTGCATTGATGATAAAGTACTGTTTGTAATGTATGAAGGAAGGGTTTAAATGCTATGCACAGCATGTTGACAAGACCACTCGACATGGAGGGGGTAGTGTTCAAAGATTGACTATGGTACTAATAAGATTGGAACTTCAGTTGAACAGAAATTTTGACTTTTTTTACAACACAACTGAGGGGTTGGCTGTCAGAGTAGAAAAGAAAATGTTGTTTTGTGGTTGTCTTATCTTTTTATCTGTGAAGATATCTAACTGCACAACAATGGCTTGGCTATCTGGGTCTTGGTTTCTCAATTCCAGAATGAGAACTGTTAGAGTCTGTAAACAAGTCAAAATAACACCTGGCATTTTGCCAGGGGAATGTTAGCGTTCGTAAACAAGACTGGATGGTGCCTGGCAAAATGCCAGAGGGAGTGGTTTGAGAAGTAACAAAAGAGAGCCATTAAGTGTGGAGATTCCTTATTGGTTGACTGATGTATCTAGTTTATGCTAATTAGGTAAGCTGTGTGGAATGTATAAATACTGCTCCTGTCCTGCAATAAACGGCTCCTGTATCAATCTACACAAGTCGTTCGTCACCCCCCGGTTATTTTGCTGCAGCCGGACTGCGGCAGAGAACAAAATGTCCTTTTATCTCTGCAGTAGAGAGGCAAAATCAAGGTGGCCCAGACTTCAGGAAGGAGCTCATTGCTCAAACAAACTCTGAGTTTCTGTTGTTTATGGGACTTGATTGACACATATATGCCCCTGGCTTTTCTCAAGGAGGTATCAAAGGACTACATTTTCAGGTCTTTTGAAAAAAAAAAAAAAAAACTCCTTGATTCTTATTTAACCATAAGTCAATGTTTAAATTTCCAGTGATACACAATGACCAACAAGTTTTTCTGGATAACAGCTCATTTTACGTCCTTTATAATGCCTATTTTTCAAGTTTTACTACCATCAGCATTTTCTATTTACTGTTGTAAAGGTATTCACAAATTTTAAAAGAAAAAAAATCACTATGAGCTTGGTTTAATGGCATTTTTATTTCAATTTGCACAGTATTTTAAATTTCAAAGCATTATTTAGAATTGGAAAAAAAGTGCATTCACCTTGGCAAAGGGAGAAAATAGGCCTCACTGTGTTTTTAACCACTAGATACAGCTTTTAGAAAAGACCTGCCAACTGAAAGCCATGTTCTATGATGGAATACTAGCATCCTACAAGGCAGTAGAACAAGGAGATTAAATGCATGCTAAAGCTCCGCCACCCATCGAGAATTTGCTTTTGCCTTAACAAAGTGTGCTCAGATCAGTCATGGAACAGCCCTCCGTGCAGCACAAAGTTTCTAAGTCTTGTCTTGACATCACCAAATGTTTCTTTGACTCCCAACGCCTTTCCGTGGGTATCTGTCCATCCCCAACATGTTCCTCGCCTGAGGAATCCACTTTGGGCAGGTCCTGGGCTATGTTTTCCTCAGAAGCCTCATGTCTATTTGGGAGTTGAAAGTAGTTTCTTTTCTCACCTGTAGGAAAGAAAAAAAAAATACTACCTTAAATAGCCCCAAAAAAGAAGGCAGCAGCCACATTCTGCTCTTGAAGAAATGAATTAAATTTCTGAAATGAAATTGAATCCCACATGTGATTTTTAAAAATATTGTTCTGGTTTCAGAGAGATTTGGCCTTTGAGGAACAGCTCTGTCATGTCTACTCTTCATTTTGCAGAGTAGAAAACTTCAATTTAAAGAGTTAAGAGTGTCCATTGGCTGGTTAGAGCCAGATCAAGGCTTGACTGCTGCTGGCCACCTCTGCTGCTGGTCACCTCTGCTCCACAACTAGCAGCTTCCCAAGGTTTTAGTTACTTGCTATAAGCAAAGGAAAACCCTGTGTGTTCCGTACAACACTGATGAGAAAGGAAGGGCATGGAGACTTAAACTTCTATATCTGAAAATAAAATGTAGGACTTTGTTCCCAAAGTCCCCACATAGCTTCTCTCACAATTCATTTCAAACTTACTTAGCACACTAGCTATCACCAAGAAAAATTAGATGAATAAATGCTGGTTGGTAAACCAGTAATTAACTATATAAAGAATGTATGGGAAAACCTGTGAAAGTTTTAGTACATAACATTATGATTTTGGTGGTGTCTAAAAGAGATCGACTTATACATTCATTTCACTGCCCCAAATATTTCAGAGATATTTCAAATGTTTTTTTTTTCCTAGTACATTTTGGTTTAGTAATCTAGAGAGCAACATAAATCCTAGTAAATATGCATACTCTCTTAAGATTAAAAAACCCTTATTGTTTCTATTGCTACCTAGTAATATAAGCCTCAATATTAAAGCAGTAATGGCAAGATCATGCTATTTCAAGATATTAGACCACCAAAATATGAACACTGTGGGTCATTTTCTAAAATATTTTGTTTACCAAGTTCATTTTAAGCTAAATTAGAATTTTTACAGTCTTATATGCAGTTGCAGCATTTATTACTAATCAGTTCTTATATTTTTTATTGTAAAGCATAACAAATAAAACCCATTGTTAAAATAGAATCTTTTAAAATTTTTTATTTGTTCTTTTTAGATACACATGACAGTAGTATATTTTGACATATATACAAGGAGTATGACCTAATCTAATTAGGATCCCAGTCTTGTGGTTATACATGATGTGGAGTTCACTGGTCATGTATTCATATATAAATATAGGTGAGTTATGTCTGATTCATTCTACTGTCTTTCCTATTCCCATCCCAATTCCCTTTTTAAATCAAGTACAAAAAGATGCATACTGTATGATCTGACTTAAATGTGGAATCTAAAAATAGTGGAAACACAGATGGAGAGAGGAGAATAGAAGTTACCTGGAGCTGGGGCAGGAGGATGGGATTTTGGGGAAATACTGGTCAAAAGGTACAAAATTTCATTTAAATGGAAGGATTAAGTTTGAGAGATCAACTGTACAACCTGGTGACTACAGTTAATAGCAACATATTCTATTGTTGAAAATTGCTAATAGAATAGATTTTTAGTTCTCACCACACATTCATGCACATACACACATACACAAGATAAATATGTGGGTGTTGTATGTGTTAAATAACTTAGCCATTTCACAGTGCATACAATATTAAAACAATATGTTGTATATACACAATTTTATTTGTTAATTTATAAAAAATAAAGTAATAAGTGCTGTAATTCATTGCAATAGTTTACTCCCTTTGATGCAGTGTAGAATAAACAAATATTTTGACTCTTGAAGCCAGATAGAACTGATTCGCTTCCTAGCCACACAGCTGACCCAGAAAACTGGGTGGAGAGTTTTCTCCTTGGTAAAATGGTAAACAGTGATAATATTACCTACTGCTTGCATCCTTATCAGACTGAATGAAATGATACATATAAAACTGCTTGGCACTTAATAAGTGCCCAATAAAAATCAGATTTCTTCCTTTCATCATTATTTGACACCTACCTGAATTCCAATTTATTACATTAAATAGTTATCTTGGTGTGAAAGTCTTGCTATGCCAATAGTCCCTTGAAATTGCTTACTTCTATGTATTGCACATTGATAACACCTGCAGTAGATGCTAAGCTCATGAAAGGAGCCAGGCAATCCTATGATTTCGAGCAAAAGACTAAAGAAAATGAGATCTTATCTTTTTTAAAGGTAACTCACCTGTTTCCCAAGCCAAATTCAGTTTATTTGGATAATCCCCCAGACTGATATAGAAATGGCTTAGCAGTTCTTAGAGAAATAGTTATTAAGATAACTGTTAAGCCAGGCGCAGTGGCACACACCTGTAATCCCAGCAATTTGGGAGGCAGAGGCAGGAGGATTGCAAGATTGAAGCCAACCTCAGCAACTTAGCAAGACCCTTTCTCAAAATATAAAATAAAAAATAAAAGGGTGGAGGATGCAGCTCAATGATAAGGCGCCTCTGAGTACAATCCCTAGTACCAAAAATAAAATAACTGTTAAGAAAATCTAAGGGGAAAAAAAGGCAGGTCTAGAGAGTAAGGGACACAAGTGAGCCAAATTACCTTGCTGAGCTTGAGGGATCCCCTCCAGGTGCCTTCTCCACCTGGAGCTGGCGCAGATGTATATGACTGTTCTTCTGTACTCCAGCCCACAGAGCTTCACAATCTCCTTGCTCCTCGCCTCTGAGATGGCAAATAGGACAGAGAGTAGAAACAGAGTGAAAATGGAGCCCTTCATTTTGCTCAGAACTGAATGAGAGTCAGATAGGGAGTAAATTGCCCGATCAAGTTTTAAAGAAACCCTCACCCTTTTGACCAATTTATACTAATATCCCTGACCCTTTATTGGTCAAAACCTCATTTTAACAATATTTGCTAAGCACATAGGTTACACTGTGAAGTTCTGATAATGTGTTTTTATGATCATTGCTAGCTATTCGGTCACTTCTGGAAACCATTATTTAACTGTTAGTTACGTTTGTGAGACAATAAACAGACACTCTCTTGGGAGACATCACGGAGACTCATGGACTCCAGAAGCAGCCAAGCATGAATCCCAGTCTCTGCTTTGCCACTTACTGACTGATGCAGGGCAAGTTTCAAACACTGAACCTTAATAACCGTATCAAAAGAATGGGAAACCCCACCTGATAAAAGATTTTTTTGAGTATTAAAAGCAACATCTATGTCAAGGTGGTGGAAAGCCACGCTTACCAATGCAGACTGACACGTCCTGGGTTTGATTCCTGGCTTCCCACTTACCAGATCTAGAATCTTGGAGCAAGTTTTTTCAGTATTCTTATTTGTAAAATTTGCTGCTGGTAATAGCTACGTCAGAGAGCTAACGAGATAACATGTCTCCCACTTGATACAATAAAGAGTCAACAATTTGCTGCCCTCTTCCCCAACCATCAGAACTGACTAGGAAAGACAACTTATGTTCAGAATTGAGGAGAACCTTGACTAAAATCTTCATTGCTATTCTTCACCCCTGACTTAAGTTGCCTTTCTAAGTACACCTTTCTATTATAACAGAAAACTGAAACTATAATCCCAAACAGCTAAATAATGAAATTTCTCTTTCGGTAAGCCCTCTGAAAACATATTTCTGCAAAGCTCTTAACCTAAACTGAGAAGGATGGCATTTAAGATCTCAAAGAATTGATGACTTGCTTTTGAGCAAATTGAGAAAATAACTGTTTAGTTGATTCTGTGGGGGGAAAAAGAATTCCCTCAGTCTGTGGCCAAGATCCTATCACCCACACTTCCTGGTCCATCATTTTCTTTTGTAGGAAGCAGGAAAAGACAATAAAACATATACATTCTGAACAAAAAGTATTCTCTCAGAAATCAACATTATTTCAAATAGTCTGACTTTCTCCATCTCTCTGATAGCAGCGTGGAGAACAGATGAAGGGTGGCAAGACTTGAGATAGGAAAAACAAAGAAAGACTATTGTGATCATTTAGATGAGGTGTGATGATGGCCTAAACTAAGGCCAGAGCAGAGTGTCTAGGGCAAAGGGCTATTCAAAAGACTGGAGGCTTGGTATTGATTGGGTATCAGGGTAATAATGTACAGAGAACAATGAAAAGTGGTATCTAAATTTCTGGCTTGCACAATTGAGAGGTATATAGAGTCATTTGCTATGAAGGGACCAAGGAAGGAGGAATAGTTTTGTGGTCAGACAAAGCTATTCCATCTTTTGATGGAGCAAAATTACAGGTGAATCTGTCTTTTGTCCAGGAGATAGCTGCATCACTAAACCTAACACACCTGGAGCACCAACAACTCTTCAGTTGTTTATAACCAAACTTCTTCCATCCTTTCAAGATTTGTATTCCCTGCCTTGATAATGCCAGTTTTCACAAAACACTACAGTGGAGCTATGATCAGGGGCTATCAACTGGGATTTTTCACAACCCAATGGATGATCCCTTTCCTGAATGTCAGACATTCTGGAAACTGAGAAACTGAATCCTTTTGTCACCCTCACTTAATCCCTCTGTTTTCAAAATTAGTTTCCTTTTCTGCCAGCTTTGACGGTCTCTTCAGGGCTCATCTTGGGATGCTGGTGAAAGCCACTACAATCTGAACTCAGTCAATAGAAAAATGGAGGCAAGCTTACCAACCTGGTCAATTATCCAGATGAAAAAGTTAAAGGCCATAACAAAAGCCCTAGGTGTGCAGCCTCACATCTGGAGACCTCATTTTCCCCATTTTAAGTTCAGAGGGTTAGGCCGGATTGCTCAAGGGCTCTTCTGAACTTGAAATTCCAAGTCTTGCTATAATTACGTGATCATGTTATTCTTACCTCAAAAAGCTTCAGAGGCAAAGTGGACTGAATGATACATATATGATTGTGGGAAAACAAACTCCAATGTCATGTATAACTATAATGAACTAATAAAAACATTTTTTAAAAGACAGGAAAAAAGGAATGAAAACCTAACAGGTTGTCATATAAGACTGTCCTCTCGGGTCTCCAAATAGCACTCCTTCCACATATTTCAGGGTCCAATTGGAAAACAATGAAAATGAATCTTTCCATTTATGACCAACCACAGTTTACTGTTTGTACACCTAACAGGAACATTTAAACCTTTTTGTTTGTAGGTTGACATAACTATTTGCCCTCATCTAGTCTGTTATTCAGTTTACTCTTTGTGTGGCTTTTAACATTTGGGGCTGCTATAACAAAATACCAGTGACTGGGTAGTTTATAAATAACAGCAATTTATTTTTTATAATTCTGGAGGCTGGAAATAGGAAGGTCAATGTGCCAGCATTTTTAGATCCTGGTGAGAGCCCTCCTCTGGTCTGTAGACTGATGCTTTCTCACTATCTCACATGGTGGTAGGGTAAACTAGTTTTCTGGGGTCTCTTTCATAAGAGCATTAATCTTAATTATGAAGACTCTGTCCTCATGATCTAATCACTTTCCTAAGCCCTCAATTTCTAATACCATCATTTGGCAGTTAAAATTTCAATATGACTTTTTGGGGACACATACATTCAGGCCATAATAATATGTAACGGTCCTACATTATAGTTTCCCCATTTGTGAGAAATAACCTATCTTTCATAATGTTATTTTGAAGTTGCAGTGAATTAAAATAAATAAAGCACCTATTATAATATGTGGTGCTTATAGATAATAACTTAGCATCATTTGCAATGGATTAACAGTTTTTATGTTTGGTTGGAACTAGTTAGTATGGGAACTTTACTGTGTAACTCTCAATCCTAAACAATCCATAAATTTGCACTGCTGTAGTCATTTTCTTTTTTGCCTTTTATTCTTCCACAAATAAATTCCAAAAAGGTAGTGTAAAGGTTAAATTTAAGTTTTGCTCTCCTGTTAAGTTTAAGTTCTGTTTTCCTGGAACCCGAAACTTATGTCAAAAACAGTTACTTATGTCAAAATGTACCCTGACCCAACACCCGCTGACAAAACGCATGATTATTCTGTAATGGTTATTTTGTAACAATCCCACCCTCGCACCCTAACTGCCATATGACCTTCCCTGTTTAAACACTGCATAAAAACTCTGCTTAAGTTGTGCTCAGAGCTCCAGCTTCTCTCAGGAGAACTCTGAGCCCCAGCATGCTGGTCCAGTAAACCCCTTTGCTTTTGCATGAGACAGTCTCTTGGTGGTCCTTTCCTCCGACGTTTGCCCGACCCTAACAGTAGAGCTTTAGGGTACTGTATCTTGAAGTGTTTTCTTTAGAACATGAGTCTTTGCAGATATTTTGGGAAAAAATGATTCCATATTAATAGACCCTTTCTTAGAGATTGATAATGTATATTAATATAGTAAGGACTCAGAGAAACCTTATTGTTAGGAAATTTCTTCAACCTTAATTCAACTTTTCTCCCACATATTTAATCCTGGAAACTCTCTAATGATGGAACTAACATCTAGGATAATCATGCATCTCCAAAGTAGACATTTCTAGTCTTTCTCTGTTCAGGAATATGATAGCATTATATTTCTCTGTTCCTTAAAGTTGGACATGTGACATATTTGGGCAAATGTCAGTGGAGGTGACATATATCACTGGAATTTAAGGATGGGCACAGACTGCCTCTCCTTTGCCTTGATAAATAACAATTTAACGCTGGAAACGGGTGGCTGCCTCTGTATATTATGGAGTAGAGAAGTCTATTCACCTATAATGAATGTGCAATATGAATGAGAAAGAAACATTTATCATTTAAACTCGCTGGTATTCAGAGATTGTTGGTTACAACAGCATAACTTGGCTTCTCTTGCTGAGTATAATTATCTTTAAGTAACTGACATCTTGCAGATGTAGAGAATGTTTATAATGATCCAAGATTTTAAAACAGGTAAGATCAGTTGTTTTTTGTTTGTTTGTTTTGGGGGAGTTTTTTTTTTTTTTTCTGTACTGAGGATGGAACACAGGGGCACTTAATCACTGAGCCACATCCCTGGCCCTATTTTTTATTTTATTTAGAGACAGGATCTCACTGAGTTGCTTAGCACCTTGCTGTTGCTGAGGCTGGCTTTGAACTCTCCATTCTCCTGTCTCAGACTCCTGAGCCCATTGGGATTACAGGCGTGTGCCACTACGCCAAGCTCAAGATCAGTGATTTGACTTTAATGACTGGAATTAATTTCCACATGCTCAATATGATTATCTGAAGTTCTACTGTCAACATAAACCAAAAATTCAAATTAAGAAGACCATGGATTTAGTAAACACCTTTCACCTGTATACCATTTGTCAAGGAACTATGGCTACAGTGCACCTAGTCATGGTGTCTGAGGCAGGTTGGCACAGTTGGAAGTACTGTCTATGGCATCGGATTTGGGACATTAAATCTCAGTTTTGGCATTTAACATCCATGTGAACTTAGGGCTTATTTAATGTCTCAATCTCTGTTTCTTTACTTCTAAAATTAAGATAAAAGCATGGACTTCATTAGGGTAGTTGTAAGAATTAAATGATGAGTACTGATCAGAGTCTAGCACAAAGGAAACTTTCAATAGTTTGATCATCAATGAAAATTATAATGGTGATGATTTCATCAAACAGTTCCTTGTGTCTTCAGTGTTAGAATGATACAGTATCCATATTGGTACTCTAATTTCTAATAAGAGACCTTGAGAAAGTATTTTACCTGTGATTTGATTTTCTAATTTGTTAGATTGAAAAAAATCACAGGATCAGTTATCATTGCTAAATTATAAAGCATATCACATATAATTATTTTATAATGACTGAGATCTCTATATGTAAATGCATTAGCAAACATTAATTTATTTTTCTTTTTATTAGTTTTTTATTTATATATGACAGCAGAATGCACTACAATTCTTATTACACATACAGAGTACAATTTTTCATATCTCTTGTTGTATACAAAGTGTATTCATACCAATTTGTGTCTTTATACATATA